ATTGACTGCCCCAGATCACATGTTTCGTTGTCTGCAAACAGATTTACCCTCTAGGTATATCTTTCCTGCATTCAACTGCTCCTCAGTTCGGCAGTGGTGGCTCGGATTTATTACAGTAGCAGCAGCAGTGGTAGTAGTAGTAGTAGTACTGATATTAGCAGTAGTAATAGCAGTAGTAGTATAGTAGTAGTGTTGCGAGTTACTACTCCCATTACGAGTAGTATGATATAGCAGTTGACTGATTTGGCACAATATTCAAAAATAAACAGAGCATTCTCCAGCTAGCAAGTAGTCTTCATATTGTAGTTCCCTAACTTTCCACTCGTTTCAAACATTTTATTGGTGGTAAATGTTGCAGGTGATGGCTCACTACGACCGTTTAGCCCTTGTCGGCTTTCAGTTAATTCCAGTAGACGGCATAAATATAGTTTACCATAGGATGAATCTCAGCAAAGGACGAATCACGGTTGGTCATTTTGCACGAAACTTGTTATCCAGTGGAAAATTACATACATATATATATCACCGGCTTGAGGACAAGCATAGTGCCAACGACACAAGAATAATAACAATAACAATAACGGGAGGTGGGTTTGGGATACAGAACATAGTAAAAAGACGGAACCGTTAAAATGTAAAGTTACGAATAAGCGGGTTTATTATAAATCATAGTACTTGGCTGTTTGAAAGCTGCAGTGCATATGCATTTTGCTATCTTTGATTTTGTGACTGACTGGTAAGAAAGCTGTGTAGCACGATATGACGTCCCTGGTCAGACAATGAGTTAAATGAGTATTGGCTGACAACCATAACGGTTCTGAGACCTGCAGATCAAAACATTCATCTTGTCAAGGTTTTCTTTTCGTTTGGAGGTGGGTAGATCGAAAATACATTCATAGAAATGCGTAAAAGATGCGTTTGGTTCAGCTATTTTTTCGATGTTTCCTGCAAAACTGATTTATTTCTACAATCTAGCATTTCAATTCCCATAAAGTATCGCCCTGAATGGTCTGCATGGTTGATCGCGGACAGTTTTCACATTGTCCGGTCCCAGATTGAGTAAAATTTGTTTATATTTTGACTAATTTTCAAAGTTTTGTGCCAACGGAATGTACACACCATACCCGGATACATTTTATTCCAATCGCCATTGAAAAATACCAGTATTACGAGACAGTAGGTTGACCATTACGTTTTCTTCGTCTTATTTCAGTGCCATTGGTATTGTATGGGCAATAGAATAGAAATTGTGTCATCCGGATTGATAGACTACATGGAAGATAGCTGGAATTACCTGAGTAGACTAGTAATCTTTGCCACTGCTTTCACTTCTGTAGTAAAAAAAGGATGCTAAATGATCCGGCTTCGACTAATCTTTGCTTGAGTTTCCATGAAAAGCAATCGATTGCGCTTGTAAACTCCTCTTACTTGGACGATTGCGTTATGAATCCCCACTCGAGTGTGAATTTGAGCAGACTGAATTGAAAATATTCTTTTTCAAACACCAGATAAAGGATCACCCAAACTGTACGACATTGCGGTCGATACTATTTGATCGTTGTGAAGCTAGGAATTCACGAGTAGGAGATAACCTTCAACTGGAGCTTTTAGACTGCCTAAGTGTTAAGAACAGTTTGGTGCAGGTGAGATGAAATCGGAATCGGTAAACCTTGGTATTTTGAATTTTTGTTCCACACACGCAGTAGTGATCGATCGCATTGTAGCCCTTTTTTGCAGTTGTGGTTCTACGTTGGAGACAATCTTCTGGGGTTCAGCAGATAACTTGAAGAAGTACTACAAAGAACTGCAAGAGTAATATCTATCATATTTTGAGCCGTGGTCAACAAGGGTATTTTGCCGGTTGGTTAGAGACATTGAGAGCCATAGAAGCAAACGGATAGCAGAGACGTTATTATTTTCATTTGTTACCTGGCGAGGTTGATGGGACATGTAAACTGGGTATCTTCGGCGTTGACCAGTTGACCCCTTCTCCTTTTCCTCAAGCAAACTCACTCCCTATTCGCCTTACTCTTATTTACATACCTTACACATTGTGGGGATGGCAGAGATCATCAATTTTTCATTTTCAATAATAAAGATATTACAGTGTTATCGGTTGTACAGAGAAATTAGGAGAACTGTCGATATTTAGCAAACAATTTAACTCTACAGTACACAGTCATGGTCACACTGATATTTCAATTACACAGTATGGTGACCTGAAAATCAATCCATTTGTATGAGTTAACCAACTTCTGATGTGACGTGTATGTTCAATAAAAAAGGGAACACTAAAAACGTTTTATTCATTGTTATTTTCGAATAGTGGTGTGAGATAAGTGTTACTGATTTGGACTGACTAACAATACACTCTCCATCCTCACGCCTAATCCTCTGTTCAACCTGCCAACCGTAAAACACCGCTCACAAACAATTGAATGTGTTAGGACGAAGCTCACAGAACCCGTCAAGCCTCGCACGGAACCGCCTCACATCACAAGCACGTTCGTGACAACCCGATCAGTGGATCGACCGAAATGTCAAGGACGCGATCTGATTGGCGCGTCATGACGTGATTTCCGTGAGTCCAAATTACCCGTTTCTATTTTCATATCGCATCATCCACGTTTGGGATGTTGTCGGTTTTGGGAGGGGGCTTACCAAGAGGAGCTCGAATCGGTCGTATGTCTACATAGAATATAACACAATGCGAAATTATTTCTAGCCAATTAGGATATTGGCAAGATTTTCCAAACCTCCATGGAAGTCCTGATTTACTGGGAGGTTATCGATTGGGATAAATCGATGATCAACTGTCTTTTTGCGTTTCTGTCGGAACTAGGTACCTGAGTGATCTTTGTTGTAGACGACATTTGAGTAAACATGAATTGGCAATTTTAATGTGCCCCGATCTGAGCTGGTAAGCATAGTGGTAAAATGATTCCTTCCATACGATGGATTCGAAGTTCGAAATTCGGACGATGAGAATAGTGAAACTCGAGTCTATGGTGCTTCTCCAGTGTAAAATTGATTGGAAGAGCTGAGGGTTATGCGTGAAGATGAAGTGTGAAGAATGCTAAGTCTAGATCAAAATGAACAGTGTCAATCTGGGTGTATGCTTCGGGGTAAGATAATTTCAGAGGAAGTACAGATATTTGAAACACTTGATCCGCTTTGTCCATCACATCAAGACCGAAAGAAGACATATCTAACGAGATGTTAACATAACGATAATCTTCTCAATCACTGACGTAGAACAAACAAGCCCACTTATACCACATTTAATTTGCAAATCCTAGTGAACGGACAAGTACAGATAGACAGGGGATATTGGAATTAAAAACAACCGGTCAACTCCACGGCAAGTGAACTGATTGCGTCAACAACTTTTGGGCACCCAGAACGGGACGATGTAATCGGATTAGCAATGTGGAGTACAGATAACCGAATCGTACATCAATACCCAAAAGGTTGATTATCATCTCGGTTGATGTTGACCGAAATCGGTGCTCCACGATACGGTCATTTGTATTTATTATGTTTTTTTTCACGTACACCTGAGTTCAGTTTGTGCGTCAAACAAATGGAGGTACAATAATTTTTATAAAAAATGTTCATGGTTTGCTCATGGGCGCGATACTGCCTAATTCCCCAGGTAAATGCCAGTGAATTTTCTCAAGGAATCCACAACCGGAGCCTTTGGTATACCTTCATTCAGGAGCCGTACAAACATTTACAACGAATAAACTAAGTCCATTTAGTTAATTGCACTGTTTCCAACTTACGTAATCGTTACGGTAAACAAAAGAAACTGAGAGCTACTGGACCACTAATTCTTATCTTATCTCTCTTACTCGCCGTCTTTGTGGAAGATTTAGGTCGCATTATGGGTTTCGAACCCAATTCACTTTTGCCTGTACGTTTTAGCATATGGCAGCTGGTAGCTTCTCTGATCCTGTAAATTCTTTTCAAGTATAATTATTGAATGAAATGAATGTAAACGTGACAGAGAATAAAGAATCAATTTTCATCATTATTCTAATTATTTACATATGCAATGGTGTCCCTTGAATGCTCATGCACTGTAAGATAATGATTATATTACTTTTCAATTTCAAACGGTGCCTTGATCAGAATCTTATTATGTTCATCCTTATCCAGAATTTTTTCGCTTGTGGCGAACTAGTTATGTAATCGAATGGTGAAAAGTATCATTGAAAATATGAATGAATTTTGCATTATGTCTTCAAAACTCGATCAATCGCCTCCAAGGCGAGTTACTTACCAACTACCGTCGGTTCCAGATCGACCATCACAGCTCGAGGGGTCCACGTTTTTTGTCCCTCGTAGAACAAAGAACCAAGGTTTTCCCAAGCTGATAATTCATCTTCCGGGCTCATTGTGATCAATTCACCGTTAGCGGCAATGCGATGTTCAATACAAAATAACTCCCAAATAGCCGAGCCCATTTGCACACCGGCTTGTCCGAAATGAACTACAAGTATTTCCCGACCCATTTTTGGTTGGGTTAAGATAAAAATACAAGTGTAGGTAGAATTGCTACACGTAAGACCGATTTTCCCGTGTACCCGACACCGTGACGGGTTTCTTGGTCTTCTTGAGATCTACCTAATTCAAGCCGTGTCCTAGGCCAGTTATCGATCCACTCTGATCGAACCAACCAGCCGGTTTGAATGAAAGGCAGTCGATGATGTATGGCGAGCACACAATCATGTGATCTGTGAGCCTATGCTAAAGCACATAAGCTCGTTAGATGACATCTGCACTACTTTACGTTTACCATTCGACGGAACTTATGGATGATTACGCCTTTAAACCACAATGAATCTTCTGGATTGTATCTTGGAATAAATCAAAAGTTACGTGGTTCAATGCCAGAACTTGAAATTTACTGACATTATATGTCTAACATCATAGGAATATTTACAGAGAGCGTACAGAAACGTCAAGCTTTTGTTTTAAGTAACCATTTTTTTCGCGTCACCATTCGAACTAAAATTTCGTTAGCATTAGATTTATATATACTCACATGAAGCAGAAAAATACAATGGATGATTATCTTAACTCAAACATTATGACATCTTGGTGATAAAAACTACATTACCCTTCTGTCTACTTTCAGTCTATTTTTATTGGCTAGCTGGATGGGTTATCAATAGAAAAATACTTAAAGAAGAGAAATAAAAGACAACTATAAACAGTGCATGGATAGGTGGTACTGGATAAACGGAATTCATTTAATGGTAAACCCAAAAATTCTCACATAAAATTACCGGTTCATCCATAACAACTTTTTGGATTAAATTTAGTTTGTTCTCTCGTCAAAACAGGTGTCTTGGAAAGCAGATTCTTCGATAGATATATGTTCCATCAAATTCACTGTCCGTATGATCAAACCATGAGTCTTTAAGGATATGTAGTTGACTTCTTTTAACACTAAACGTATGAAAGTGCATTTTGGAGGACGCATTCGACACTACGTTATCCCTCAAAAAACTGTATTCTGTCCATCACACAAAAGCTTCCAGGCATGGTGCTTTGTTTCATTTTGGGCACAGTGTCCGAAAGTAAAATACCTTCATATCAAACTTTTGTACATTCCTCGTTCAAGTGAGTATGGAACATCTATTAGCTTTTCTATTGCTTGACATTAATAACAGATAACTATCATTTATGTGCGTGTGTAAAAATAGACCTGATCTTAAACCGGCTTAAAGAAATGTGAATAAGCACGAATTAGGGATCACAAATCACAGTAGCACTGAAGCACCGAATCGTTGGGATCTCCTGTCACCAAGAAGCAGAAAAAAGTCATAGAAGTAGCGGTTGGTATACTGGGGAAATCAACGGGATTATATAATAAGTAAATAGAAATATCTAAATAAATAAGTAATAAAAGGCCTTTTTACTTACTTTTATTATTTATTGAATATACAAATGTACAGTCAACATTCAGGAAGGGGGCCGGCCATACAAAGGCTGCCTTGGAAATACGGGAATAAGGAAGACGAGTGACGGTGGAGAGGTTTAAACTCTGGACACCAAGGTTACAAGTTGGTGACCTAACCACTTATCCACCACCACGGTGATGTTTATGATAGCCAACAAAGACCACTGGACAGTTGTTTCGTCCTGTTTGGAACTCGTCAATAGATCGTACTTTTTTGCCCCCTGTTAGGACTGGAACCACGTATCTTCAGGTGGGAACTTCAAAACCTTACTCTCGAGCTACACGGTCGACGGCAATCACCTTATGCGAATGCCTCAATCAATTAAGACGGTGAATGTTCGGGTCAGCCCATTCGGCTTTTCACATGCACCAAGTACTGTTGACGATCTCCCAAGGAGTGAAACCCACACCCATAATCATCAGCAGGGCCTGGTGCCTGTGAAAAACCGAATGGGCTAATCCGAACATTTACCGTGTAAATAGAAACATCATTGGACACACGAACATTATCCAATAGCCAATCGCGTTCGCACGGCATGCGTTTGAGCCACAGGGCTTTTGATTGGTTGGCACCACTGGCCTGTGGTTCATTCGGAATATGACTATTTGTAACATATCAGATTTAAGAGGGAGAGCAATTATTACTGGCTCGAAGAATCTGTACTTGGCGGGGCACAAATGAAAAAAGGTGAGAGAAGGACAGTTATGGGGATCAACCGTGAATTAAGTAGAGTAAAGACTTTTACAGACTAGCTGCATTGTAATGACCAGCTCATTGTTCGAATCGACGAGACGATCAGTGTTCCGATATGATCAAATGCATGGTGCCACGATGAATATTTACGTGCGTGTCTGACGATGGTCAGAGTGATTCAGACAAAAAAACCACACTAGGAGAATGTATTTATGTCTCTTTTATGACGGTCACTTGTTCAAACTGGAGGAATTTACGACCGGAAAATTCGAGAATTATTGTCTGATAGACAGAGAGATTAATGGTATAACCGAACAGATCGTGGTTGCTACAACAATTCTGAGGTGGCGACAGCGATAATAAAGATTATTACGTAGTCAGAAAGCGTTTTAACAAGCACAATTTAAACCATAGCTGAGAAAAATCACCATTTGGTGATACAAAGCATCGAAATCCCACTAATCAGGAAGCCAAGGGTTACAGTATTACAAGGTAGAATTACGGACCAATCAAATTCGTTGTGGGCCACTCAGGAATAGAGCAATTTGCATAACACACATGCGAATTGGTGAATACACTCTGAGTCATTGATATTTTCTTTGTATGTAACATTTTTTCTTATGGTTTCCCTTAATAAACTAACTGCCGCTCTCCTATTCTTCTTGATGTCAGGGCATTCCGGTCGCTGATTGTGCGTTTCATTGTGATTGCGAATATCGATCCAGTCGTTGTCCGATTGCAACTCAACGGCCTTTTAAAGTCCAGTGAGGTGCTTCATTTAATCACCCTAAAGAGGTATATCGTGGTAAGGTGGTGATCCTAGCTTACAGGATTACGCAAACCTCGAAGCGAAATGTTACAGTTTCCGGACAACTGTGATGAGTCAAGCTTCACACGTAGCGCTAGAAAAGTGCCTATGCGTTACAGCTTCTGGACAACGAACCACAGGACGATTGTGCCGACCGATCAGATGTCGCGCGGCCCAGACAGAAGCTGTATGACACCAAGAATACGAGCTACCGATTGGTAGATGCTCGAACTTCTCTTGTACGTTATTTAACCCCTTTGATTTTTTCCAATAAATCAGCTTCTACTCCTGTGGTCTTTTCTTTGCACCTTGGTTGGATGGGATACGGTGGTGCAAGTGCCAATGTGATTCAGTGCTTACCTGGAGTGATATAATGATTGTAGCAGTAGTAATAGTAATACGCACTGAACTCGGAATATGAACCACCCAATATGGATCACGGAATGCGAATCAAGGATTATCAATCACGGACTGAATCAATCACGTAAGCACTAGACCGCACTGGTAGTAGCACACAATAGCCCACGTAACTAAGATGCGACGAAAAGACCACAGGAATGGTAGTTCGTTTAGTGGAAGGAATAAAGGGGATTAAATAATATGTACAAACTAGACTCAGTAGTTATCGGCGCTTCTACTAATCGCGTTCCAGTGTTCCTGGCATCGCTCTACTTCTGTCTGGACCGCACGGTCTCTGATTGGCTGGTACGATCTACCTTTGGTCTGTGGTAAGAAGCAGTGTCGTACGCGCGTTGTTGATGTCACACGTGAATTTTGATTGATCGCAGTTGTCCAAAAACTGAATTGCGTCGCTAAAGAGTACGCGTAATCTCGTAGGCCCGGATAACCACAAATGATCTGTACGTACTTCAACCATTACATATGTCCATTAGTAGAGAGAGAGTGGGAAGCTATGCGAGTATGCTTTGTCTCAACTACCCTTATACAGAATTGATGTTTGTGAATCCACTGGCCAGTAAAATTGTCTTTATATTGATCTGTGAACGATTTATTAACTTATTAAACAAGATCCAATAACAGAAACCGGAGAACAGTTAGCAAATGGAGTTAATAACCGGCGTGTACAAAGCCCGCCAGAACAAACTAAGACACATGTCAACCAACATCCCAATCTCGGAACAGAGTT